GTAACGTACGTAACGTAACGTACGTACGTACGTACGTACGTACGTACGTACGTACTACTACTACTACTACTACGTACTCTACTACTACGTACTACTACGTCTCTCTCTCTCTCTCTCTCTCTCTCTCTCTCTCTCTCTCTCTCTCTCTCTCTCTCTCTCTCTCTCTCTCACACACACACACACACACACATATTACTCCTCTCTTTCTAGTTTTGAAGCCTAGCTATCATTGAAGCCAACTATTTAAAATTGAGAGGAGGATGTGCAACAAGTGGAGAGAGATTTGAGAGAGAGAGAGATTTTTTAAAGGATTTGAAGAGATTGAGAATGATTCAATGAGAGAAAGGAAAGCATACAACAGCAGAGAGAGAGAGAGAAGAGAGAGAGAGAGAGAGAGAGAGAGGAAAAGGGTTCAATTTAGAGTGGAGAAAAAAGCACAAAATAGGGATAGAAAAGGGGGGGGGCTGGGTGTTTGATTTAGGGTGAAGAAGGGCAAGATAGAACCCCGGGGTAAAATTGTCAATTTTGACTTGCACTGTAGAGAAAGAAAATTGCCAGATATTCACATTGGGAAAGAAAAAAGGTAAATTTAAAACAAAGTTGGATCAGCTAGAAAGCAACTTACAGGTAAGAAGTAATTTTTAAACTCAAGATTGATTTTGATTCAATGTTAGTATCTAAAATCATATTCATAGTATCATCCCCCTTTTTCACTCCCTCGAAGGAAATGGGATGAATCGTGGGCAAATTCGATAGTGCATATTATTATAGTCAATATCTATGGCCATTTGATTTTTTTTATTTTTTATTTTTTCCATTTGTGCCACATGTGCATCAGGGATCCACGGAAATGTAATATAGTTATATAGGTTTGTGTCAGTATTTCATGTGGCTTGCCAATGTTAAATGCCAGGAGATTTCAAGGCACTTCAAGGGTTTGAGGCTTATGTGCCTCCCTAGGGGAAGAGGGCGCGGGCGCTGAGAACCCTAGCCATGACTTTCAATGTCTAGATGCTCACATATTTTTATGATCTCTTTTGGTCCATAATGTCTCTCTCCTAATATGTATTAAGAAACCAAATAAGAGAGATGGCCTAAAAAAATTTTTAAAAGTTCATCATTCGAAGTCCAAAACTTCAAATGCTATAGTGTCTTCACTCCATGGGTACATGAATTTAATGTGGCGCACAGATCATAGAGTGCAGTAATCCACAGTTTATTATAATGAGATACCATAGAAAAGTTATTCTTTCCAAGTGTTCCCATCACGTGGACCGTCCAATATAGCTGGCTGGTGCAGATTGCACAGTCTTAATTTGCAGGCATGAACTTGCTTCAAAAGGTTCCATGTGTAAAATGATGTACTGACAGCACTCCCGACATACCGGCACTTTTGGACTCTCTCAATCCGTTGATCCCAATCCCGATCTTAGAGCAATTCTGGATCCCATTCCCAACAATTATGGTATGCACAACATATATATGAATGGTGTAAAAAAAGTGCATGCATACGTGTGTGCATATAGGATGCGGGTATATAAGACCATGTATTATAAAAGAAGTAAGGACACACCTCCAAAACCAAGAAAATCTATTTTTTCCCTTGATTAAATGAAATGTTGCAAATCTAGGAGATTTGTAAGCAAATGGCCCAAATAATGGGTTACAAGATCTACTATATTTAAGGCTTGATATCCTTTTTTTAGATCCATAATGGTTGAGGTCAAGATCATCAATCTGAGGGTTTTCGAATGCCAGAATTGCATTTTCTAGTGAAATTTGACGTGCGTCTTTACTTATTCCCCTAAGGCCTGGTCCTTTACATATGTATGTATGTCTATATGTATGTATATACATGTGCAAAAGCTAATGCTAACTGAAGAATATTTAATAACATTGTCATAAGAGCTAAATCATTCATATATTCAATGGTTTCAACCCAAGAGGCCATTTGAACTTAAGGAACTCTGAGGATGAGAGTACCTTTGGCGAGTTGGAAGTTGATGGTGACTCAAAAGGGAACTAAAATTGAGTTTTTGAAGAAAAGATAATGAAGAACATCATAAGTAAGACACTAGGCAGACAACAAACATTTTGATCACAATACTGGTCTAAAGATTCCAATTACTTCATTCGCCAAATGGGCAATAATCTTTCTTAGTTTGCATCAACATACTATCTATAGGATTCCTTAGCGAACTTCAAGAAAGTCACAAGCACAATGTTCCAGCTACCAAGAAAACTTATGCTCAAATGATTATTTATTAACCAAAGCAAATAGGTCCAAATTCGTTGCATCCCAATTGCATTACAATTACAGGGAAGTGAATAATGACATAGATCGGAAGCAGATAAAACTTAGGAAAAGTATTAATTCAAATGTTTGTGCTCCGCAGTACTTGATATAGGTCTTCTTGGCTCCTGGCAGCGTTGACAGGGTTCAATAACATCTCCTGATAAACATTATCTCTACAAATAATGATAAATTATCTGTTGAGAGAGAAAGAGAGAACGAGAGATCTAAAAAAACAGCAAGGTTATAGAACTATACTGACTACATTTTACAGATATATCAAATGCCGCACATATCAAACACTGATGCCTCCTATCTTTAGCACATAGATTACTTGTAGCAGGCATGATTTTGTTCTCTGAAAATTTTTCTTTCTTCTTTGTTTTCAAAGTTGAGTTTCTTCTTTAAAATCATAGACATGCCAGAGCACATAAATGGGAAATATCCATATATAACAAGATAAGCTGAAATTATGATATTGAATGGAATAATAGAGACAAACTCAATCAATGCACAAAAGAATGGCCTAAAAGTCGGAGAAATGGGAACCTGTTGTTGCTCCTTGATTTGAGAAAGAGGATTGAAGCAATTTCCACAATTGAAAGCTCTTCCTTCCTCTAGGTAAAGCCATCTCCACCTCTGGGAATATGCATTTGTGAGGCGCAGCTTACACTGATTGTTGTTGATGAAGGGGAGAAGAAGGAACCTACCCATTTGTTTCTCTAGCATCACAACTCCATTATTGGGCAATTCCAAATACTCCACAATTGCGTGTCCTCATCAAAGGGCTTCCTCCCTCTTCGCAAGAGATACAGAGCTAACACTCAGGGAGAGAGAGTTATGAAACAATCGTAACCCACAGCAATATAGCATGAATACATTAGAGAAGTGACTCTATGAAGAGAAGCCAAGACCAAGGGTGAATTTGATAACTTTCTCTGCAGTTTCCCTAGGATTCTCCCTGTTGTGACTTTCCTGTAATCTAGGAAGAAAGTTAAAATTAGTAGCTTGAAAGCGGGGAACCTTGTTTGATCAATTGTGGTGCTGCTATTTTCATATGTTGGTGGAAAAGCAGGAAACAGCATGTTTTAACCATTCATTATGTATTTCATTGATTTGATGCGCAAAATATATAGTTTGAAAAGATTATCTTGCTACAACCAATGTAATGCATTTCTTACAATGTAACGTTAAGATTGAAATTTAATCTCATATCTATGTGACTTAAGAGAGAAAAACCCTCAATAAAAAATAAAATTTTAACCACACGAGTACACCATAAATGATAATTACATAACCATATCAAAAGTTCACCACGAAAGTCTTATGAAACTCAAGGCATGACAATATTCCGTTATAACTCGAGGCAAAAAATACAAACAAATATGGGAACAATATAACTTAGTACAATTCCATATAACCAACTATGGATCCTTGAATGAAAATACTTGCATGAAAACATCCAGTCAAATCAATTATGAATCCTTCTAATAATTTTAGGCCAAAACTTTTACATTTGCATTTCTTATAAATGTAATGGTTGAGATTTAAGTTTGATCTAATATCGTGCAATGCTCATTGAACATTTAGATCCCAAAAAACAGGCAGAGCATATTGACAACTAGAAGCTAAACACCGACTGTACTCCAAAGAATGAAAATAACATAACAATTTATCCTAGAACACCAAACGAAAGGAGAACAAATTTCAATCCAACCACTCATTTAATTGACTGGTCAACTTATCCATGGTAGAAATTTCAAAAGAAGTGCATAAGAAAAAATCAGCACTAATGATGAATAAATCATCCACAAACTGAATAAAATATTCATGGAAGAATCTTAAGATGTGAAAATTTACAGAAATAGCAAAGCAATCAAACAACAGATGAATAACAAATCACAAGGTTGCCAACTATTAGCAGATCATGAAAAACTAGAATCCGATCACACCAAAAATGCTCAGATTCCACCTCAAAAGCACATTTAAAAAAGAATGGCACCTCAAAAGAGGCAAATGAACAGCACCTCAAAAGAAGCAAAAAAATTCGCACCTCACAACACAATGCAAATAAAAATACCAGAATGAACATGCCATTCATGGTAAAAAGACCAAAAATGCAGAAAATTTGAAGAAAAAAAAAAGAAACTAGACAACAAGCCTGTGAATGATTCTTCAGTTAAATGAGTAGAATAAACCACCTTGAACCTGTCAAAGTTGGGTACTGATATTCCATAAAATCTCTTTAACAGTAAAACCGTATATTAGATTTGGGTATTCTCTAATGCAAAACCAACGTTAACAAAAAAACCCTGTTAACCTTCTAGAGAGAGATCAATGAAACCTCCAGCCACAATGTCGAGAGATAGACCATTCTCAAGGTCTAGAGAGTGACTCAAACCCATCTGAAGATTCAATAAAATCTAGAGACAACACGAAAATGAGGCTGAGCAAAACCAGTCTCAGAAATTGTAGAGAGAGAAACAAAGAGATCAATACCAAGAGAGAGAGGGAATAGTGTACCTGCAATCCTCCGTCCAGAGCGAGAGAGTAGGGTTCCTAGATGGCGAGACCGACAAAGAGAGAGTGACCTTAGGGCGAGGAGAAGAAACGTTGCAGGGCTGCGTCTCTCTGGGCCGAGCGGCAATGGTAGGTTGAGATTGGGGTAGGCGGGGCGCAATTGAAGAGTTCTATTTGTGAGTGTGGTATGCGTAACGTTGCGCGGTTAAACAATCACGTTAGGGTATGGTTTCTATAAGGTTGCAACCTTAAACAATCCAATTAAAGCGCACCTCCGAATTATATCGTAATATATAATTTTGGTGAAAAAACTCATGGATTATCTCAAAAATCTATTCTTATATGTGATTATAAAATTTTGAACAAAATCAAGTAGATTTATAAACATATGAAAATCTTGAAAATGGACAGTTTAGATAATATGATGTAAGATGCACTATTTTCGAAATTCAAAATCTTTTTATTTTTCATATTCATACATTTTGATGTTGAGATAATCAATTAGAAGTTTTTTTAACATTAAAACAACATTTTCTGATAGAATTTTTGAGGTGCAATTGTAAACCCACATTTTAAGGTTGCAACCTTCTTCTATAAACTTTTTCCATCAAATTAAAGGCGCAACTGCAAATTTTATTATAGATATAATTTTACTGTCAAACATTCTTACGATGGCTCGAGAATTTATTTTCATTTCTAAATGTAAAAATTTAAATTTTAAAAATAGTTCAAATTAAGTAGGTCTATAAACACTTGCAAATAGATAGTCTAAATAATTTATTACAAGATGCACTATTTTTAGGACTGAAAATCTTTTTTTTTTTTTCATATTCATAAATCTCCATCAAGATAATCAATTTGCAAGTTTTCCAACATTAAAACAACCTTCTATGATGGATTTTTGAGGTGCACTTTAATACTACATCAACCTTCTATGATGGATTATTTAGGTGCACCTTAATTCTATATTTTAAAGTTGCAACCTTATATAAACTATTTCCTCTATTTTTAGGGCTCATTTGAGTTCCAATTTTCTCTTAAAGTGGCAGCGCAGGGTCCCTATGGTCTGCCACTTTACTCAAAATACGAGTTTCGACTTCCCTCGATTTTAATGTTATGGGTGAAAATTATAGTACATGGAAAAATCGAAGACCTTCCCCATTTTCTCTGTTATCAAATGCGGCCCATAGGGTGCTTTTTGATAGATATGTCTAGGAAACATCACCCAGGTTGTTTCAATGTTTAAAAACCAAGATCGAGAACATGAATCGGCCATCCAATGAACCTGCATGCAAATAGCGTATCGGTGACGACCTGGAGTATTGGCCAATAAAAATAAAAAAAAATTAAAAAATTTAAAATAATTAAAAAAGAGGGGCCAAATCGATTGATTTCCTAATAAAGTTCCTAAGGAGAGCCATATTGAGATTGGGTCCCCTAAAAACTCCATATCAAAGGGATTCTGATGAAGATCAGCCTTTGTTTGATGGGGAAGATAACCCAAAATGTGATATTTTGTGATGGCCCTTTATAGATGAGTATTCATGTGAAAAAGTTTCATACAGAAAATGTATTAAGGCACATGTATCTTGTCCCCTTGTAAATGCATGCATGCAATATCTACAATTATGCGTATGAGAAGATATAAGAGCACGCTTAAAGTACTTTAAGTTTAAATTGAAATTAATGGTCATTATATTGACTTGGTTAATCTCTAGCACAGATTGAGATTAGTATGCTCTGCGTCTGCCTAGCTGGTCTAGGATCTCTCGCATCAGAAAACGTGGTATGTACTGAAGGTTGATTTTCAGTGTTGATGTTATTCCACTGTCAATGCTTTCTGAAGTTAACATAACAGAATTCCATTGAAGGCGAGAAGGCCGTGGTGGCAATTCATACTTTGTTAACGCAAAAGGAAAGCTGGCCTTACCTTCTTTTCAAAATATACAATCAACATAATAATCTATATTTTAAAATGGCAGAAGATGTTGTTTCAGAAATTTCTGTTGATAATATCCCTTCTTCTAGTTCTAATCTCAGACCTATGTTTTCAAAACAAGATCATCTTTTGGAAATAACCTATACCCCTGAAAAGTTTTCAGAAACTAATTCTCAGTTGATAAACCCTTACCATGTCTATGATAAGTCTAGTTTAAATTGGACAAAAAAAATAAAAAAGTTGTGTGGACAGAAGAACCCAGAAGCTATAAAAGAATATGTTCAAGCTCTTCTTTTGACCAACATCAAATACCTGCTACCCAATCTGAACAATATGTTACCATTACCTTACCCAGTAACCTATTTCCTCAATGGCTTAAAGATAGTTATACCCATATTCATTTCGATGCTATAAAGCTTGCTCTAACTTTTCATGGAAGAAAAGGTATGGAAGCAGTTTCTCGAATTGCTTTGTTAGATTATAGGTTTTTAGAATACCAGCATGCATGTATTGGAACTGTACAAACAACCTTGAACACAGGAGCCATATTTGTTACCTTCTTCCCAAACTTTAATATTCCTATCAACGACCCTTATTTGAGCTCTGCTTTTAAAGTCCAGTTGTAGATTACAGGCACCAAACAGATTGAAACATCCACTGTAGCCACACTCCATTATCAAATTGTATATAGACTACAAAACCATGCTTTTGATATAGTTACCCCTTTATCCCCAGAACATGAAAATACAACACTATTTATCAAAGTTGATAACAATTCCCAACCTGTCTGTCATTATATTCCTAGACAAATCTCTCGAGAAAGGTTGCTTGAATTAATTCCATCTATATGGGTGACAAATTATTAAATTCTTCAAAATCAATGTCAACCATTGATGCAATCATATTCTAGAATGACTAGAATGCCAGATGGAACGGTGCAGATAAACTTTCAAAATCAAAGGATAGCTGAGAGCCAGACCAAAGAAATATTTCCAATCCAATTTCATGGACTGCTTGAAAAAGTCCCTGTTGTTGCTTTGGATAAAACAGGAAAGCCAGTTAACAAACAAAAAACTTCTGATGGCCATAACTAGTTTGATACTTGTGATTGCTCTACTTGTCTTGAAGAAGTTTTAGATGATTTTCCAAAAAGAAAAAGCAAAAAGAAAAAATCATCACAACAAAATCTTCATCAAAGATATATTGAAGGTGATCCATCTGTTGGTTTGCTTGGAGAAAGTTCAGGAAAATGGGATTATTATGTGATATATGGATGTTCAAATCAAAAATCCAAATTCCCTGTTTCAGAAATAGTTCCTTCAGGATGGGATGATGCTAAAGATAAACAAATTCTAGACTATTTAGCTTTTGATCCTCAAAGTTCAAATTATACCCAAAATTTTCCTCCTTTACATGATTTTGAGAGACCCCAAGAAAATAAAAAGCTTGTATGGAAAATAAAGAATCCCAATGCAAGAAGCAACACTGGTTTACAAAAGACCATTTCTCTAGCCAAAGCGAGTTTGAATTAGCAAGCTGAGAATGCCAAATCTCAGAATTTGGTATTACTTCGGATAGAAGAAAAACAAAACGCAATCTCTACCCAGATGCATGGATAATCAGGTATAATAGTTCAATTAAAAGAAAGAATTCAATTGTTGTATGAAGAATAGATGCATATTTTGTATACAGTAAAAGATATCAATGAGCAATCTTATTTGATAGTTCAAAAAGGAAAGAGAAAGCTTCTTTGGAAAAACAACTTCAAAGCCTTGAAAAAGACCTTTGGAAATCCCAATATCAATCCCAATATCCTCAGTACCAATACCAATCCCAGTACCAATCTTTGGCATATCCCACTTTAAGAAATCTTAACCCTTTTCCTCCCACAAGAACTCTATACCCAGCCACTGACCTTATTTCTCCTAGAAATTACGGTTTCAGACCATTAAGGACATTTGAGCTTGAAAGACAATTTTTTGAAGCGATGTTTTTTCCCCAATTGAGAAAAAAACCAAATATGCACGCCCCATTTTCATCCCAACATCCAATTCCCAATCCCCAGTCAACTTCACCACCAACTACTGTCCATCCTCCCACTGGTTCCCAAATACCAAAATAAGAAACCCAAATGTTTCAAAATTCTGACACTGAATCAGTTGTTGTGGCCTCGTCTGTTTCGACTCAGCTGAATATTCCTTCAAAACCCTTTAATGATATGAATTTTTTTCTTAAGAACTTAACAAAAGAACAAACCATTCAGAAACATACAGAGTGTATAATTCCGAAACAGACAGAGTGTATATAGATGAAGAACATTACAATCAAAATAAAATGTCTAAGGGGATGAACAGAGTAAGAGGAGCGGCAAGATAAAAACATCATCAATAGACTGAAAGAAGCATACTAGAAACTGAGCATTGACAAAGCAAGACTGAAAGAAGCATACCAGAAACAAAGCTAACTGGAAAGAAGAACTAAAGCACACCAAAGCAGCACCGGATTTGAAATCTGGACTTCAAAACAAAATAAAAAGCTGTCGGTGACCGACATATACAGTGGACAGGTGACATGCACAGTGGTCAGGTGGCCGACATGAACAGTGATAGATGTCATGAACAATGGACATGTGGCATGAACAATGGACAGGTGGCTGACATGAACAGTGACAGGTGGCCTTATCTTGAATAGTAGAGTGACAGGTGGCCTTATCTTGAACAATAGAGTGACAGACGACCTTCTAATCTGTGTCATAGTCTAGTGGCAATCCATCTGAATCATAACTTGGTGAAGAATGGTTAGATGGACTATGTGAGAGGCCCGTATAAGAATCATCACTGGAGCTATCAGTTGGTCCTTCTTGTGGTGGAGGATGGTCAGCAAGCCATAAGTGTAATTGGTGTAGACGGGCAGCACCTCTAGAAGTCTCATCATTCCATACTGTTGTTCCTGCATAGACATCCAAAGGAATCCATTTTGGCTGGATTATGTTAATGTATCACATAGGGACTTTGAGTTCTTTCCATAATTCAATTTGAAATAACCAGAAGTTCAGGAAATTAGAATCATATCATCCAATGGTTTGGATATGAGGGTGTTGGCTGATAAAAGTATGTTTAGAATAAATCTGGGATTGAAGGTCTAGGTGAAAGGCTACAATAACATAAGGTCTATGATAATAATCAAAGGATTCGGTCCATTAATTATAATGGTAATGTTTTAATAAAAACTTGTAAAAGTTGAAGGCTCTGGGGTTGG